GGGCCCTGGGCACGGCCCCGCCCTGAGCCCACCTGGCACCCGGCTCTCCGCATGACCGGGAAGGCTCCGACTGGGAGTGGGCGGGGCTTGGCTCCAAGGGCGGGGCCTCAGGGGCGGGGCTAGGGCTTGCCTTCCCCAGCTGGGGTTCCACCGGATGCCCATGGGGCGAATCGTGCAGGGTCTGTAATTCGATCGCGGTGCTGCTTGCGTGATTGGTGGTTTCCTAGGGAGCTCAGCTTCTCCTGCCTGCCAGTTCCCGCCCCCTAGAGCCAGCTGCAGGGCCGAGATTCTTCCCAACCTAGAATCAGATGAACACCCACCCCCGTTAACCGAGCACGCCTGAGAGGCCCGGGTGAATCAGCACTCCGGAGCTGACCCCTTACGGCCCTGCCCTGTTCGGCCAGTAACACGCTGGGCCCTGGTCTATGCTAGGGATGTAATTGACTAATCACTTCCTAGGGAGGAGCAGGCAGGAGCTGGTGCTGGGGGGGAGCTGGCTTAAGAGCTGGTTCCTCCCAGCACCATCTCCACGGGGGCAGGGGAGGCAGGGGGTAGCGGGAACCAGGTACGAGCCGGGAATCAGCTGATTCTTGGGTAGCATAGGATCCCCCCGCTGCACACCAGCCTTTTAAATGGATTAAGAGCCTGTCGACTCTTAAACCATTGAAAAGGCAGAGCCACAGCCGGGTAAGTTCCCGGGCAGGAGCTAACCCCGCTGCGGATTCCCCCTTATCGACTAATCGACTAGTTGATGGAAAACCCATCGACTAGCCGATCAGTTGATTAAACTACATTTAACATCTCTAGTCTAGATTAGGGCTTTATTTTGAAACCCTCCCCCCTGCCTTAGGTCGAATTAATAAGCAGAGAATCCACGCTACCACGCCCATTATCATTTCGAGGCTTCCCCGTAACGAGGACCCGCTAGTTTGATGTTGTTGTTTCAGGGAGCTATTAAATCAATTGTCATTATTTCAAAATAGTTTCCTAGTGTAGACATGCCCTGGATGAGCAATCCCTACAGATTTTGGGGGGGGGGTTGCAGGGATCTTTAGGGGCTAGGTGGGAGAAACATTGCTGCCGAGTGAATGGGGAAGTCCAAACACCCACAAGGAAGGGTGGGAGAGTGGTAACCAGCTAATCCATGACAAGTATTTATTTCCAGGTAGTAACTGCACAAGGGAAGCCAAAGAGACCAGTTATGAGAGGAAATCTAATTTGTATTTGGTTAGAAGAGTCAAGTTTAGCAAACTGTAACTGATCGCACCAGTCAGGGTCACAAGGCAATGCGGAGGGAGAGAGAGGGATCGCTCCGCACCATGAAGTTTGAATTGATCGGGGCTCCCAGGCGGGCTGGGAGGTAGCAGAGGGACCGAAGCATTGGAGACAGGCAGAGCAGCACCCCAGCACAATCCAGCAGGAGACAATGAAGTCCCAATGGAACTGAGGCAGATGCTGGATCCGGGCACCAGAACCCTTTCCTGGAGCATGGGCTGGGGCTTTTGCCTGAAAAAATAAGGGTTCAAGGGGGTCACTAGATCTGTTTTGGAACAAAGCGATGGCTCAGGGCAGCACACCAAGGTTATTTTGGGCAGGCTACGGGGGGTAGTCCCGTGAGGGTGCGCAGGATGCTATTAGGCAGCGTCCATATTTTGGATATGACTCCAGGATTTCGCTCTAGAATTGGTCTGATAACTGCCGGGCTCATTAACATACAGAGCAGAGATTTCCCATCATGCAGTGCTTCTGCTTGCTTGGTCCTGGAGATCCGTGCAGTTCTCGCTTTGTACGCTGGGGGAGAGGTCTCCCTGTCCCACCGGTAATACACATGAGGCTTGGGGGGGTTCACTCAAGTCAGACACTGCCCTAGTTCCCCAAGAACAAAGCCTGATTCCGGGGGGGGGGTCTGCCACTTGGATATGCCCCCTTTCTCATGCACCAATATCCCTGGCTTACCCTCTGCTTCCCATGCCACCATTATGCGATCACCACTGCTGTCACGAATCCTGGTGCCCCGTCTTCCCTGCCCTGGAGAACCAGCCCCCACATCTAGGGGTGTCGGGTCCCGTTTTTGCCTAGGTCGTCCATTATTCGTGGCCTCTGCCCAGTTTTAAAAAAAACCACACAGAAAATACTGGACATGTAAAATATCTGTTCTTTTTGGACGGAAGATATTCTTCCCTGCCACATTTGGCGGGGGTGGAGGGCACGAGGAACACAGCGATTTTTAGAGGCGCAGTAACCCCCTTTTTTTTTTTTGCTCACCCACTTTTCTTGCTGCCATGTTCAGGATTTTTTGTGAAAGCATCTGGTAACCCTACCCCTGCCAGCTGCGATCTTCCTGAAGGGTGAGAGCCTCCCTCCCTTCACTGGGGTGGTTGCCTCTGCCACCCGCTTCCCATGAGCCCTAGATGGGAGCCTATTGCTGCTCACCATAGAAGCATGAGTCTGACTTTGTGTGTTGCTTTCCAGCGGGTTTAGAGGCACCTGTCCTGTTTGGCCAGTACACGCCCTTTTGCATGGCTACACGAAGGACAGCCCCAGCCTGGAACTTAGAGTGGTCTGATACCGCCTCATGCCCAACGGGGCCTGTAGGTCCTAACAGCAGCAGTTGGTCCTAGCTAATGGTTTCCCCAGGGTCCTGCGGACACCCGGGAAAGCGGGCAGCAGACATGCAAGAAGCAGGGCCAAAGCACTTGCTGAAGCCTTAGGAGATTGAGGTTTGAGCCCTGATTTCCTCCTGGAGCTTAAGCAACTCACTTAATGTCTCTGTGCCTCAGTTTCCCCAACTGAAAAAAAACCCCACAAACAGGAGAGCAGCGAGGATACATACAGTAAAGATGGTGAAGGGCTGATGGTGCTTAGCTGGGCCCTGAAAACGGACAATGGCTGTGGCACGACAGACGGCTTAGTCACGCCCTTAGTCAAAGCGTTTTATTGGAACAGCTCTTGTGCAAACTTCCATTCGACAATAAGAAAATTATGTACAGCTACGATTATAAATTAACTGGGCTATTTTTCCTTTTCACAGTGTAAAAATATACAGGGCAGACTCGGTCTGCCGGGGACGTCCCTGGTGAGGTCCCAGCGTGGCTGTGTACCACCTAACCTGGCCCCGTGCGTTGCAGTGGGAGGGAGCAGACGAGGGGGGGCTGGGGCTTGCTGGAGCAGGCCTGCTGGCCCCAAAGAGAGATGAAAGACAGGGAAAGTCAAGGCCAGAGCTGTCTGAGGCCCTTTCCCTCGGCTACGCTAGTACCTCTGGCTTCCATGCTTACAGTACAACGGCCCTTTCCGGTTTGGCGGGGTGTTCTCTCCCACCCCGAGATGTCTAAGCCTTCTCCACTAATCTAGACACTTAATCCCAGTTCCTCTGCTGTCAGTTGGGGGTAGCTCCATCATAATCGTGATTGACACCAGCCAATCACCGGGGAGAATCTCGTCCTACGCCCTCAGACCGGGCCAAAGCATCTTGGGAGCAAGCGGGGTTGGAAAAACTAGTACAAGCAGCCTTCTGGGTTGGTCATCTCCTAGCTCGTTCTCACCACGGCCGGCTAGGATCACACAGACTACGGAGCGTCTGCAGCTTTTCAGTCTTTTTTTCAGCACAGTCGCTCCGGCATGAGAGAGCAGCTCTTTCCACTCCGGAGGTGTTCGTACCGACACGGCCTTGAGACGGCTCGCGCGGTATAAACACGCGCGCGCGCTCTACCGCTCTCAGATCATTTCAAAACGAATCACAGTGTAGAGGATAGAGAGTGCGTCGGGCCCCAGAAATGTTTGATTCTTCACATAGACAATTAGGCCAAACAAAAATAAAAAAAACAAAAAACTTTCCTTCGTCCTCTTCTGCCCAGGGAAAAGGACTTGCCGGCCTTCTCCGGGCCTCACTTCTTATCCAGGTGGCAGTACAGGTACATGGACACGACCATGGCGGCAATCTAGAGAGAGGAAAGGAGGTGGAATATCTCCGGGTGCCCAAGTGGGTCCCTCTGCTCCAGCTGAGCTGGCATGCGTGTAACCCACACCCAATGTCTGTCTACACTGGCGTGATCTTGCGCCAGAGATATGCAAATGAGGCTAAGCGTGGAATATCGCCGAGCCTCATTTGCATACCTAATGAGCCACCATTTTTGCAGAAGAGGCTCTTGCGCCAGAAGGAGCGGGTACACGGCCCCTTCTTGCGCAAGAAAAACCCTCTTGCGCAATGCCGTTATTCCCGAAAATAATCAGCGTAGCAACATTGCGCAAGAGGGGTTTTCTTGTGCAAGAAGGGGCAGTGTAGACGCTCCTTCTGGAGCAAGAGCCTCTTCCGCAAAATGGTGGCTTATTAGGTATGCAAATGAGGCTCGGCGATATTCCACGCTTAGCCTCATTTGCATATCTCTGGCGCAAGATCACGCCAGTGTAGACATAGCCCTAGTGTGGTTTACTGTCCCATGCGGTGGCACCTAGACCACAGCACCAGATAAGAACAAGAGAACTCTACAGCAGGGGCTAAGAGCCAGCTGGCTCAAAGGCTAATGGCTCCTATCCTGAGGTCCCAGGTTCAACTCCGCCTGGTAGCGGTTACACATGCGCCCTGTCTCCAGGTAGTGGCCACTGCCTAATTTCTGTCACTTCCTCCTCCTGGCCTCCCCATCTTCTTTGTTTTGGGGCTCAGTCTCCTGGATCCCCACTCGGGCACCAAGTGCCATGGTGGGGGGACGAGGGTTGGAGCTATTGGTGGTCACAGATGCTCTTTACAGCACGGCTGGCTGCCACAGGAACAGGGGAAACAAGCCAGGGATCAGGCGACTGCTGTCCAAGCCTGCAGCCCCGGAGACGTGTTTAGTCAGCGGGCGCCCTCGCAGGTCAGGCGCGACATTGGACTCTGATTGGAGGTGCCGCTCGTTTGGGGCGGGGGAGGGGATGCAATGGGGCAGCAGCCGCACAGACCTACCTCCCCCGCCTCGTTCCTTCCCCAGCTCGACTTACCTCCAAGGCACAGATCCCCGCCGCCACGCCCCCCACCACGCCCGCGTTCTGGCGGACGTCGCTCAGCAGCTGCTGGAAGCAACCCTGGGGGAGGAGAGAAAAAATAAAAATAAAAAAAATAAAAAAAACGGGAAACCAACACGGTTAGAAAGAGCCGGAGCCGGTTGGAGCCTGGCGGCTGAACGCCCCCTCAGTGGAAGGACCTGGCGTGCCCTCTAGTCCCCCTGCTGCACTGGAGGTTTGCCGGCGCCGAGCGACACGTCGAGAGCTGCTGGAGGGAGTCCCATGGGGAGTGCGGACTCGGTGGCTGGAGGAAGGAGAGAGCACGTCTGGCTGTATCTACCGAGCAGGACACCCATAACGTCCAGGCACTTCAGGGAACAGCAAGGTCAGCTTCTCCCCCCAAAGCAATAGTCATCTGCGGGCGCCTAACTAGAAACCTCGATTGTAACCGACTTCAGGAAGTCAGGCCGCTTGAGGGGACTCGATTTGGATACACACACCTGCCCAGTGGGGCTGACAACTCGCTGCGCCCCTAAGCGAGGTGGGGGTGGAGTGCTGCGCTCCAGGAAGGGGCGGAGCCTTGGGCAGAAGGGGCGGGGCCATGGACAGAAGGGGCGGGGCCATGGACAGAAGGGGCAGGGCCTGGCACAAGGCCCCACGTGGACAGGGCTCATCATGCTGGATCAGGCGTGTTTGCTTCACGTGAGCTCTAGGGCCTAGTTAGTAGGTTTGAAGCCATAGATCTGATGGTTTAAAGAGGACTCGGCTTTAGAGATTTGGTCCTCGCTGCTAGACCAATGGGGCATGCGTGTTAAATACGTTTATATGGCCAGTGCATTCAGAAAAGCCTAGACTGCACGTGGACAGGGCTCATCATGCTGGATCAGGCGTGTTTGCTTCACGTGAGCTCTAGGGCCTAGTTAGTAGGTTTGAAGCCATAGATCTGATGGTTTAAAGAGGACTCGGCTTTAGAGATTTGGTCCTCGCTGCTAGACCAATGGGGCATGCGTGTTAAATACGTTTATATGGCCAGTGCATTCAGAAAAGCCTAGACTGTTGCTTCTGCACTCCTCTCCCTCCCACCCACCCGGACGAGGCCTTCCCTGACCATATCGTTCTTCAGCCGAGTGTCTAAAGAGACTAGCTCAGGTCTGATTCCTTCTTGAATCGAGACAAAAATCCCTTACCCTGCAAATCCCTGTGGCCTAGTGTTAGCCTTGCTCGTGTATATTATCTACAGGCCTCCAAGGCCTTTGCAAGAAGTGTCCTCATCTCCCACACTTACAGGTAGGGAAGAGAAGGATTTCCCCATGCAGTGCACAGTCAACCTGTGGAACTCCCTGCCACATGATGTTGTGAAGGCCAGGGCTTAACAGGGTTCAAAACAGAGCTAGATAAATTAATGGAGATCAGGTCCATCAATGGCTGTTAGACAGGACAGACAGGATTGGTGTCCCTAGGCTCTGTTTGTCAGAAGCAGGGAATGGGCAACAGGGGAGGGATCACTTGATTCACGGTCCTGTTCACTCCCTCTGGGGCACCTGGCATTGGCCCCTCTCGGAAGACAGGACATGCGGCTAGACGGACCTTTGGTCTGACCCAGTCTGGCTGTTCATATGCCATGGAACCGGTAAGTGACTTGGCCAAGGCCGCAGAGCAAGTCAGTAGCAGAGATGGGAACACAGCAGAAGCTCAGACCTCCAATCCACGCAGTACAAACCTGCGCCTCCTCTGCCGCAAGGCAAAGTTCTGTGATTCACCAACTAGTCCCACCTTCCTCTGCGATGGGAAGGGGACATCTCCCGACACCCCAAGAGCAGATGCCAGAGGCCCAGTTTCCACAGCAAAACCCAGGCCCCTCTGGCAGCGCAGGGCTGTGCCAGTACCTGGACTTTGCTGGTTTCTGCCCCTGTCCTGTTGCACGGGCTATGGACGGGGTCGCAGCAGAAGGGCGGGTATGTGTGGTTATTAGTCTGGTAGTAGTAAGAGTCGGTGAAGTCCGTGTAGTTCGTCAAGCCGCAGCATTTCACCTGGGGGGAGGAGGAAGAATGAGGGGTCACGGTCTCTCCACCACACCCCAACCAGACACCCCAACCGGTCCCCAGTGCGTGGACAAAGGCGTCCGGGGCGATGGGGTGGCAGAGCATGGCCCAGCGAAGCAGGCCAGGAAGCCACGAGGAATAATGCATCCAGGCCAACCCAGGGAGGCAGAATGTGGTTCCCATGCTGGAGCAGGGCCGGGATTCGGGGTCCAGCCCCGACGCTGGAGAGAAGCCAGCTGGGCCATCGAGGGACAACTGGTCAGATACAGCTGGCGCATTTTGTCCCAGTGGCCGCAGCTGCCAACGGGCAGGGGAGCTGGGTCAGAGCCAGACACTTGTAGCCCATGTGCCTTTGAAGCTAAGGTCCCCTTCCCAGTGGCGCAGGAAGGGGGGACCAGGGGATGGGCTGAGACGGAAGCTCGGCCGTCAGCAGCCAAAAAACGGCCAGGGGCGCA